CAATACATCTTTAAATTAACTGGGTCACATACTTTCTCCAACAATAAAAAATAAAATTATGATAATAACAAAATAAAATAGGAAAAAATAATTTAATTTAATTTGACTTAAAATAATAATAATATTGATCACTAAATCCGAATAAGCTCTGACCACATAGCAATATAAAGTAGTACTGTATGATTTTACATTTTTAAAATAGTTCACGAATAGGCTATGGAAAATTCTTCTTTCAAGAGGTGTCTCACCTGCGATTTATACACCTGTACAGTGTAGTTCACTTTACAGTAAGGGTCCAAGTCCTCCGGCTCTTTCCATGTCAAACGAAGCCTGAAAGGTGTTTCCCATATGAAGTTCAGATTCTTCGGAGGAGGGAGTTCTAAGAGGAACAATAGAAGGGGAAAAAGAGAAAAATATAAAATGAACAAACTGCAAGTGAAAGTGTGCAAGTTCAGACGAGAATGTATCTGACGTCACGGTTTCGGGAATTATTGCCTACAGGATATCCCGCACGCGCTGTCATAGGAAAATTTCAGGGGGAAGCATTCCAAACTAACACACAACACACACACACACACACACACAACACAACAGCACTAAACCCACCTGTGTTCTCAGACCCGACGAACATGACTGAGACAGAGAAGCATATCATCAGGGATAAATTCCAAAATAGATACATCGTGTTGGCTGTTTGAGTAAAAAGTGTCAAATCCAATGTGAAATCCCGTAATCCCGTTTTGATATGTGCCAAACGCAATTCTTTTACTGCAGGCTACTTGTGGTCGTAATCGTGCTCGACATAATAGCCTAATTCAACAACCGTAAAGTAAAGTCACGTCTGCCAGCCTCTGGCTCGAAACAGAAGTGAGACTGACTGGAGCTTCTTGGACTGACACTGTACCTCTGTCAGACTGAAGTGGGTGGAGTCAGTGTGTGTGTGACTCAATTCAGGACTCCAGGAATCACGTACACACTACTCTGTGGTATATTGCCTTGTTTATACGGATTTATCTGCTTCACGTCGAGTTAAATTATGAATATCGTCTCTGTCAAATTATCAGAGAATTATACAATAACAGAATTGGTTTGTTCACACCAAAGTCTCTCTCTCTCTCTCTCTCTCTCTCTCTCTCTCTCTCTCTCTCTCTCACACACACACACACACACACACACACACGTTGTGTTTACATGTTTTATGGGGACTTTACATACATAGACACAGATATTTTATACTGTACAAACTGTATTCTATTCTTTCCCCCATTTTTTACATTTTCAAAAAACATTAGGCCTAAGAAGCTTTTTTTCTCATGGGGACCAAAACATTTCCCAACAAGGACAATACCCGGAGGTTGTCATTTTCTTGGGAACATTTTGTTCCCATAATGTAGTTTTTGCCATGACACACACATAGACAGACACATGGTGATGAGGCTTGCAGTGCAACGGGGAAAAAAATAAATAAAAAAAAAATTAAAAAAACAAAATAGAGATGAGTAAATTTTGGTCATGTTTACAGTATAACAGTCTACCCAGTACCCACATATGACTAAATAAATACATGCAACTATATACACTGACTGCGTACCTGTAATAATGGTGTACCAATACACACTGTAGGCTTTTTAAAAATGACAGAGTACATATCTATGCATTTAAACGGTTGTGGTGCTTCTTACCCTCTTGTTTCATGTAGTTACAGGGTAAGTGTGACATTGCGGGCCGTAATTTAAAGTGGTGCTTGTTACATGTAGTTACAGGGTAAGTACAATAAAAATGCACTCAATCTAATATAAATAAGATGTATTTAAAAAACAACTCATTACAGTTACTCCGAAGCGATAGTCTACAGTTTAAAAAGTAAAAATATTGTAATTTTTCTCACTAATCGTCTTCCATCAGAAGACATTGATCCATCCATTGGGGTTGTATGAATTATATTACTGTAGTTATTGCTGTTCAATGCTCCACCTTTAAGAAACACATGAGCTTGCATTATAAGTGTTCTGAATTAAGTTGTCACTCAAATAAAGGTTTCCGAAACAATGATATAAGATTGTGTATTTATTTTTCTTGTACTTACCCTGTAACTACATGGAACAAGAAGGTAACAAGCAGCACCACCAATGAAACAAGATATCTTTCCCTAATATTTGAGCAAAAGTTGCAGTTTTTAGTGCACTTTGTTAAAAAGATTACTGCATAAACGCATGTATTGGTATATATTACAGATACGTAGTGTATGTTCTTGCTAAATTGCTCCAAAATGCAAGATTGTTATATCATAATAGTAGAATAATTATCCAATAGTTATATAATACTTACAGTATAAATATTTTTTGTGCTTTTACTTACATGTAAATACCACGTAGCCTACACTATAATTACCGAAGGTTCCACTGTAAAATCGCTTTACACAATGCATTCCAAGCTGTAATCTAAAGCATTACCCAATTTTCTTGTATTTGTTTCTTGTACAAATTATTGCGCAAATAACTGTCATTTCATTTTGTCATTGATTTAGACAGATATAGTTTTAAGGTAGCCTATGTGATGACAGTGACAGCCATTAGTCATGACGGTGAACCGTTGAAGCTGATATTTTATGTACACATGTCAGATATATGAATCACCTCTAGAGTCTCTGTCAGAAAGCAGGCATGCAAATGAATTGTGTTAAATGGCATCTAGGACATAAATTATGTGGAAATGGATTTAAAAAAATGTGTATGTGTTCAATGTTTCCAATGCAAAGGTATCAAATACTCTTTGGAATTAAAGAACAAATGGGGTCTGAAAACTAAAAGGCCACAGATGTCAGATAACATGTTTGTTTGTTTTTAGTGGTTACCCACAGTATGCATGTGTGTGTGTGTCTGTGTGTGTAAATAAAGCAGAAAAGTTACGGAAAAACAGCTCAAAATAAACACACCAAAGACTTTTTTGTTTTTTTTGTGCGGAAATATTTAGTTTTTCTTATGAACTACAGACCACAGAGGAGAAAAAAAAAACATTCATACATTATATGCTGATATTTTTACTAAGGAAATAATGAACCTGATCTTCGGGAATGGCAGCTCGTCTCCTGGCATGCTTTCCTCTTTCTAGAAAGTTCATTGTCCATTGTTGATCAGAAGATGACTTTATTACTAAACATTTAAAAGATGAAAACTGCAAGCAAAAACTGCCATGTCAATACTGTAGATGTTTCCATTCTCTCTCACACACACACATACACACACACTTCCTATATAAATCTACATATCCTCTGTTTGCAGTTTGCATGTTCAGTGCAGAAAGGTCTCATAATTAACAGCATTTTTGTGAATAAATTAGCCCTGGATAGGTTATCTGGATATCAATATCTGTGTGGTTACATTCTGGATGATCATTCCTGCCCATAAAGTCAGTTGTTCAGCACCATCTTGGGTATGCATTCATTTTAAAAAGCTTTGCATATATATATTTATCTTATATGGTTTTAACTCCAAGTGGCCGCTATTTGATTATCTGATGCACATCAAACGCTCTTAGTTGAGTCTTACAAACTTGCAGGCAGTCAGAAACCACTGTGATGATGTGTACTACTGAATATAGGGAAGAGGGAGGATACGACACTGACCTCTCAAAAAGCCAACCATGTTTCTCTCAAATTACACAACATTCAGACAGCACCAGGCAACGGGCATAAATAACGGCAAACTAGACAAAAAGGTCAATTTAAGGTCATGATTTTGTTCAGTACGTTTTTTTTCATTGTACCAATTGTTTTTAGACTTGCTTACATAATTAAAAAAACTATAAAAATAAAAAAATGTACCTTGCAAATATACATACAGAATATAAGTTTGTAATGTTGTGATTCTCCTTGAAACTAGTTGGTTGGGTTTGTATCTTATATAAATGGAGAATTGAATGGCAAAAATACTTCCTGATCCGAAGCCACTGAAAATGTGAGAATGTCGTCACGTTTATGGCTTTTTTTTTACAATTGTGAATTTCATCATTCAAGACAATGATTCAGCTTTAGACTATAAGATCACCTGGCATTTCCAGAAAGTAAAACTGTGCATGTAAAAAGGCATATGATATGGAAATGTCCACGATCTTTGGTGTGTTGGGTGATCTACACGGCACGTTATGTTTCCAGCAATTCAAATGGACAGTTTGGCTGGGATGAAAAACAACACGGAGAAAATTTACAGGCGAGATGCAATAGGATTGGCACCCCATTTTAATTAAATGAGACATATTTCCAAAAACACACACACACAAAAAAATAAAAAATAAAAAATCATGAAAATTTGTCATATAGGTGAATATGGAAGCCCAAAAATAAAGCTTTGGTAAATCATAAGTATGACATACTAAGTCATAATTCTGAGATTATGATACTTTTTAATCTCATAATGACTTGTATCTCATAAATACGGAGCCCCTAAAGGTACATGGTGATTGAAAAAATATGATGGGAGGGGAAAAAATATTTCAATCCCTGAGAAAATTAGTTTGCTCTCAAAATGTTTGCGTTCACATATTTTTTACATCACCATGCCCCCTTAAAGGGATACTCTATTTAAAAATTTTTTTTTTTGAAATAGGCTCATTTTACAACTCCCTGAGAGTTAAACAGTCGAGTTTTACCGTTTTCGAATCCATTCAGATGATTTTCTGGTATTTAGGAGAATATCAGTAACCAAACAGTTTCTGGTCTCATTGACTTCCATAGTAGGAAGAAAATATACTATGGAAGTCAATGGGACCAGAAACTGTCTGGTTACTGATATTCTCCTAAATATAAGAAAATCAGCAGAATGGATTCGAAAATGGTAACTGTTTAACTCTGGGTGAGTTGTAAAATGAGCCTATTTCCAAAAAAAGTGGAGTATTCCGTACTTAATGCTATCATTGCATTGCCAATTTCACCTTTTTAAGTCATAACCATAACCTTTTATGTCCGAATTATGATTGACCAAAGCATGATGTTTTTCTTACAGTATGTGGTGGAAATAAGCTTCCATAATGATCAGAGGGTAAAGGTTGAAACAATTTTTAAAAAAGCTGGGTAACATGAGCCTACATCGAGGCAAACACGTCACACGATAAGAGCTGGAATGTTTCCTTTAAAATGAATTGTAAAAACAAACGTGGAAAAGCGGCTGACGTTCGTGTTCTCTGATGGGACGCTTGTTGAAGGCCGGGCATCTTGATTCGTACATTCAGGTGTGAGTCCAGGAACGAGCATCCGGTTCTAGATCAGGTGGAGGTTCCACTGATGGCATGGAACACGTGGAGAGAGTTCTGCAGCAGCGAACGCATCATATCCTCCTGGAAGATCTGAGAACAGGATAAGCATTTCAAAATGTAACGGAAGACTGGATTCACATAATTCACTGATGACATGATCTCTCAAACCCACACCCACGCACAAGTACAATTATACAGTGTACAATCATAGGATACACAACTGCATGCACAAATAAAAGAAAATTAGACTTTTGCCAACAAAAGCGGTTACCTAGAACTCAATCTATAGGACATGGCAGCATAAGGAAGAAAAACAGAGACAGGTTAGAAGCGGAAGTAGTAAGAGGTCAGCATTAAAAGAGAAGAAGCACTTTACAACCAATTACTTTGGTTAAAACCGTTGAGGACTCATTTTGGTTACACTTTATTTCGATAGTCACTTTAGACAATCGTCTAACTATAACTTTTCAACTACATGTCAACTAACTCTAATTAGAGTATTAGTGTATTATAGTAGACTGTTAGGTGTTAGGCTTTGGGTTAGGAGAATAAGTTGACTTGTAGTCGCCAAGTTACTTGTAATCTCTATGTCTGTTGGGGGACCAACAAAATAAAAGTGTTAGCAGATATTAATCTGACAGTCTACTAATACTCTAATGACAGTTAGTTGACATGTAGTTGAAAAGTTACTTATAGTTAGTAGAATATCTGAAGTGGACTATCGAAATAAAGTGTTACCCTTGTTTTAACTAGTGACTAAATTATGTTGCAACAAATTACCACATTCTCATTTCCACTGATAGTTCATTTTTTAATATTCATGATTATACATTAAGACTTAGGTCACACAGGCGAAGGTTTGTACACTGTAAAAAAATATTGATGGTTTAACTTAAAAAAGTAAGCAACCTGGTTGCCTTAAAATTTTAAGTTCATTGAACTGGAATACAACGAAGGAGAATGATTTAATCATCAGAAACTCAAAATTATATGTTATCTGAACTAAATAAATTATTTAAGTTGATTTGACAAAAGAAAAAAAAAATGTGATTACTACACTGTAGAAAAATATAAGTAAGTAACCGGGGTTGCCTTAAAATTTAGGAGAAAGTGAGTTAATACAATGAAGGAGATTAATTTAATCATCAGAAACTCAAAATAATAAGTTATCTCAACTAAATCAATTATTATAAAGTTGATTTGACAAAAGAAAATATGTTGTGATAACAAATCTTGAAAATATTTTTTTTTTTACAGTGCAGAAAGCTATCATGTTGTGTCATTATGAGTGTGTGTTGAAAGTAAAGGTGCTTCCAAAGCATAGATTTAAAATAATGGTTTAAAGAGGATGTGTGTGTGTGAGAGAAAAAGTAAACTCATATAATAGAGACGCGAACTGCCGGTTAATTGCACAACATTCACATGAAGAACAACTGTCTAAGGATTGCACTGCATTGTGGCGTAACTTTGTTTTCAAAATTGGGTGGGAAAGGAGAGCGTGTGTGTGGGGTGGAGATTGCTGGTTATTACGGTATCAGGAGTGTGCAATAATAAAAGCACACACACAAAAACAAAACATTATGATGTCCAGAAATCAATTTCAGTAGTACAGTATATTGAGTTTGATTTATTGACACTCATGTTTAATGTGATAGTTTATCTACTATACTACAATAAACTCAAGTATTTAGATTAGTGAGTAAATATGTAGATCTGATTTTGTCCTAATAGTCTGGGTTCTGCCCTTGTATAGTTTAATCTTTTTTTCTCATTAAAACCAAAGATGTTCATCAGCGATTGCATATCAAGAGCAGGGACATGTTTGTGTGCATTTTGCTTTGTGATTTCACCAGAGCGAATAGAGAGTCCACCCACCATTATTACCTGTAATACAAAGCCTCGGCTAACGGCCCTGAACATGAAATCAGATTGAAATCAGAATTACTTGTGATCAAACAACCTTTTATGCCCTCCAGTCACTGTAGTGCTTTTCCAAAGTTACAAGCCACTCAGCATTTTCACAGCGATATCATGGGGACAAATGACCATAATGAGATTTTTAATATCTCATAATTTGGCAGCAGGTTTATTAGGCTGCTGTCACTTTAAGACCTGACGCACGGATCCATTATACTGTTACACATGCGTTTTCTTTCTCAACTGTTGACCTTCACTTAAAACATATCTGACTGTCTGTGTTTATGTGAATACTCACCAAGACTGGCATTTTGACATTATTTAGTGCGTATTTGACAGTGTACGGCAATTAGCAGCTCAATTTAGAACTGAGAGGCGGCTTTATGTGCAACACTTCGGGTTTAAGCACAAAATTATGTGCAATACGCGCAATTCCACGGCGAAATTCAAGCCCTGTAACACCAACAATATTCATCCAGAGCAAATGAAACGAATGAGAGGCGGGTTTGTGTCACTCACTGGCAGAGAGAGAGAGAAGAGAGAGAGAGAGAGAGAGCAGCTGGTATCGCTGGTATCTATTCTGTGGAAAATGAGAATTGGAAGCGTTTCAGATATTTCAGTATTGATGTGTATAAAAAAAAAAAATCTAGATTTTTGGCCAACAGTGCGCGTTTATTATTTCAGATGCCTTTTTAAAAGACTAAAATTTAAAAGCGCTTCAGACTGCCTTAAACGAGGACCATTTGTCGAGGCTGTGTATTACATGTTATAATATTGCAAATAATGTTCAGTTTCTTGCGCAGAGATTGCCAAGTTTCTTGCGCATGAGAGCCAAGAGAACACTGTTGCTTTCTGCCACTGATTACACTGGCAACGAACACTTACCATGACTAATAAAATAAATAAATAAATGTCCCAGATGACCTCTTATCTAACATAAACAAACACATTTCTAAACCAACCAGAGATTCTTTTGGATTAGGTTAGGGCTGGGTATTGAGACAAATTTCACAATTCGATTCGATTTCGATTCACAAGCTTGCAATTCGATTCGATTTCGATTACAATTCAATTCGATTCAATATTGATTATTTTGGATATCAGTTACAATAAATGGCAAATTTTCTCAAGGGAATCAAATCTCTTAACTAATGCTGTAAACTATGGGAGTCTAGTTGTAGCCTATTAGGCTTCATTAACCTAATATGAAGCTAATAATGAACTGTTTTGTAGCTATACAAACACTTAAATGACACTTATTTATTTTTATAATAAGAAGATTATATGAAATATAAACATTTAAATGGTGGCTGTCATAAAAACTTGCCAGATTTATTCAAATATGCATTAAATATTGAAGAACATTAAGATTATAATGCATATGTAATATGGTGTATATATTTAGCAAAATGCTCCTCTCTAGAGTTATTTTTTCTATTTGACTAACGAGTTTATGTGGGTTTTCTGAGGTAAATATATGACAATACATTGATTACAAGCTGTTTAACTGACGTCTTTCCACGGTTGAAAAGCTGATTGAGCGAATGAATGTGACATGATACGGATTTCGATAAGTTGTACTCTCTTTTAACACACTTTCAGATGCTCATTCATGTTTATTTCGTACTGTGACTGGTATTATTAAGCGCTGCTGCTTCTCTTGAGCTGCACCAGAGCGATCTCACACCACAGCGCCAAAACGCTATTTATGTTTTTGAATATTTAAAGAAAATGGACGTAATTTGAAATTTGAGACTTTGTTTCATAATAGTAACAAAGGACAAAGATTATTGTGATTTTTTTGGATGCGCGCAGCCGCGATACAATGAAACAGGATGACTAATCGATTCTTGAGATTTAAGAATCGATATCGGTAAGTAAAAATGAGAATTGATTCATTTCGAAAAAATCAATAATTATTACCCAGCCCTAGATTAGGTACATCTGTGCCGTGAAATATATCAACGCATATTCCATGACATGGCCAACACTTTTATTGACATTCATATGCAATAAATAGGATTGTCAATTAAATAAACTATGATTGAATAAGTTGAATTTTTTTTAGATTACGTCTCACAGTGGACATGCGCCTGAGATCACAATTTCAGACCCCTTCATGATTTCTAAGTGGGAGGTTGTTCAAATACTTATTTTCCTCACTGTATATTTTCTTTCCTACTATGCATTCTGAATCAAAAAATAAATATTTTCCCCACTAGCCTGCAGCAATCCAGCGCTCGTCTTCTCATTAGGTGTTTTTCTCTTACTGATCATATTACGTGCACCGTTGTTGACTTTACGTTTTTAAACTAATTTGACTGATAAGGATTGCTTGTGTGCGCTGGTGCTCTTATTCCAGTCTTTTACAATATTTAAATGAATGAATGCACGATACATGCCTTCAGCTAATTTAACGATGTTAAATAATGAATTGACCATTTTGGGCATAAACATGTAAATTACATATAGTAAAATGATTGACAATGATAAATGATCTTTGTTTGGCTTGGGCTTGCTTTGTTGGGGCATTTAATATATCATCAACAATATTATTGATCTGCCTGCATTGACACCATTACATGAAAACTGAACTGAGCTGGACGATGACATCACTGCTTTCTCCAGAGCGGCTACATATACAGTCGAATCAAAATGTATTCAGACACATTCAACATTTCTCACATTATCCCAGATTATTCACTGTAGTTTAGAAAATTGTAAAATATGACAAGAACTTTTGGCCATCCTTCTGTTAGACTGTCTCACAAATGCATTCGGTTGAATAGCTGTCAGTTTTCAGCTGTTAAATTGAACTACATAATTAGATAATACCAATGTAGGTCAAGCAATGCTTCATTATGTTCAGTCTGTGGTGTAAAAAGGTCGCATTCGCAATTAAAGAAAAAAAAACATGGCCAGTTCAAAGTGTCTGAATCATTTCTGGTTCCAAATTTGTATAAATTTTACTGATAGTCATGAAGAATGTTTGGGTATAATATGTCAGTGTAATTTATTTTGCTATCCTCACTTACATAAATTAAAGGAGAACTCCAGTGCAAAATGAACCTTTGGTCTAATAAAATATCGGTACCTAGTCAACCGTTCTCTGAGATTTGTTTTCATGATAATCGAATGTAAAGAGTTTTATCTCTAAAAACTGTTTAGCGTATAATGCTAGTAATGGGGGCATATAATAAGTAAAAAGAAATCGCTAGTTTATACCACTAACAAGGCTCAAAATAGCCCCACACTAACACAGAAACATAATGAGGGTCCATACATGCAAAACGAAGCATTGAGAACTTTGTAAGTGAACAGACCGTTTAATAAGAAGATACTTTATAAAGACAGTTCACTTCGTGTATACAGACAGGAGCCATCTTAGAAAATAGTCTCGAAAAAGTGAGTTAATACAATGAAGGAGAATGATTTAATCATCAGAAACTCAAAATTATATGTTACCTGAACTAAATAAATTATTTAAGTTGATTTGACAAAAGAAAAAATGTTGTGATTACTACACTGTAAAAAAATATTGTTGGTTTAACTTAAAAAAGTAAGTAACCTGGGTTGCCTTAAAATTTTAAGTTGATTGAACTGGAAAAAGTGAGTTAATACAATGAAGGGGGTTGATTTAATCATCAGAAACTCAAAATAATAGGTTATCTCAACTAAATAAATAAATAAAAAAAAGTTGATTTGACAAAAGAAAATATGCTGTGATAACAAATCTTGACAATATTTTTTACAGTGTGCACTGCAAAAAAAGAACATTTTCAAGATTTGTTATCACAACATTTTTTTTCTTTTGTCAAATCAACTTAAATAAATTATTTAGTTCAGATAACTTAATATTTTGAGTTTCTGATGATTAAATCATTCTCCTTCATTGTATTAACTCACTTTTTCCAGTTCAATCAACTTAAAATTTTAAAGGCAACCAGGCTACTTCATTTAAGTTAAACCATCAATATTTTTTTACAGTGGTGATTGTGCCACTTTTCATTTGATTTGATCTTTTTCTCACTTTGGTTTTTTAGTGGCATTGCAGAGGTTGTACATTTTACATCAAATGCACAAAAGCTCTGATATGATTTTTCTTTGTTTCATATTTTACATCTCAAAAAAAAAAAAAAAAAAAAAAAAAACCAGCAGTCAAGTATGTAATCTCAGGGCACTATCTCTTTACAAGATCAAAACAGATCAAACCTGTTGTGCTTTAACCGTCCCAACCTATCAAACCTGTCTACCAATCAATGACTGCTAGTCACGAGAGGAGAACAACAACAACATCCAAGTTTTGAAAAACATTTCCTAACCAGTGGAGACATACAGTAAATTTGTTTTTTGGTTTATTTAAAGGGAAATGCCCAATTAAAGTAGCTCATTTCCTGGAGTCTAAATGGACAAGAGAATAGATGGTACAGATGCACAAATTTGTCTAAGTTTAGTTTAATGCACGGAGTCCAAATGCAAACTAGCCAATCAACAAATGCAAGAGCAGTGTGAAAGTTGCCCTTTAACTTCCTCTATGAAGTGCATCATAACGGATGGTCTGACGTAAGCGATAAGAAAGGTGATAAAAGGTGATGATATACAGGGCAAATTATCCAGATAGAAATTTACTGCACATTTTCAAAGGGAAAGTGACCAAGCAACAATCGCTCTTCAAGATTACCCAGCAATATTGTTCAAAAAGATGCCCTGTCTATCATCACCTAGAGGAATCAAAAAACGTTTTTTTGTCTCGTGTAGTCAAATGACTTAGTGTGGTAATACAAAATGAGGAACAAAATCATGATGGGTGAACATTTTCAGGAGAGTGTCAGATATGTGAAAGTGATGAGTGGCTTAAATCAAAGTAAAAAACAGATAATGTTGTAACAAAGACGTCATCGCCACCAAGATTTTAATTTTAAAGCTAATCTTACATTTTCAGCAAACCCTAAAAGCAGCACAAAAAAATTACCTAGAAAGCATTTGAATATAGTTTGGGCAAAATTAAATTCGCAGTAACCTGTTTTTTAGGAGAAGTTGAAAGAAGAACAAGAACTTCATGCTTGGTGGAAATGAAACATACCTGCTCATGGATGATTTCAGACAGTTCTCTGACCATGCTTTTGAAGTTAGCCTTTAGTCCCTCGTGATACTCGTACTGATCCTCTTTAATCAGTCTCTCATTAATGTCCAGAGCCATACTGCATGCATTGACAAATTGCCTGCAGCAAATAGAACCAGACAATTAGGCATAACAGAAACAATTTAATCAAGAAGTTTGTGTGCATATATCATTTTCTATCATCTAGCGACTAAACAACTTCAAAAGCTTCAGATGATTTGCTTTGACGTCTTATTTGATGGGGGGAAATTTGACTTGTATTATAAAAACAAACTGCGTTTGGAGAAAACTTAAACTGTCATATAAATGTCATCGAAAGTGGCTACAAATTCCTGAGCCAAATCCAAGAATGAGATGCGCTGGTTAGATAACAGACGCATTCCTGCAACATGGCAAGATGATACATGCTGTTGAATATACACTACAGTGAGTGCAGTCGGTTTCTTCCTGAACAGGACTAACTTCATCTTCACCTATTTATAGAACACTTACTGTTGTATTAAAATCCAAGTTATTGAGAAAGAAAGCTTCAGGAGAGCCTTTTTATAACTTTTATTAATAAATACAACATACCTGAATATTTCTTTGAGCTCCTTGACTTTCTTATTGGGTTGACCTGATTTGGATTCATCCAGGAAAGCTCGGGCATAGGCCATCGGTCCCGCGTTCACCTATAAGCCCAAAAACGATATTACTGTAGACACATGTTATGGTTGCGTCACAAACCATTATCAATGACTTCATGCGCAAAATATTACAATTATAGGTCATTAATGTAAAAATGCTTGTTACATTTAATGTTTCCCTGTTCCAGGGCAACAGGAATGTTGTTTTACATGTAATTAACTTTATTGGCGTTCTGTCCTCTTAAAGGTGCAGTAAGCGATTTCTGATAATGGAAATCAAGTCAAACAAACACACGCCTCCCTTCATTGCTCCGCCCCCAAAATGCATTAAACACTCGATGCAAGGGCGGATGTCGCTTTATCATAGCTGAAATAAAACTTCACAAAAAATAAAGTGAAGATGGCAAATGAACTACAAGGAGGAACAAACAACGAACATGCAGTACACTAGAGTAAATACAGCAAGGACACTCCAAACTGTCCTGTCACTCAAGCTCACATCACAACAGCATATGAAGAGTTCAGATGCAAAAGCCTCTAAATGCCATTTGAAATTTTCTTCTTTAATGATGATTTTTATCAAACTTGTATATTTAAGTTCAGTAATTTCACTTAAATAACAATTAATAGGTAATCCTCATTGCCATTTAAGTGAAATCACTGAACTTAAATATACAAGTTTGATAAAAATCATCATTAAAGAAGAAAATTTCAAATGGCACTTAGAGGCTTTTGCATCTGAACTCTTCATATCTTGATTCTGTGAAACAGAGCAAAACCAATGTAACTCGCGTATGAAGCAGAAGTAACGCAACTTCTGTGTCTGTTTTTAGGCCTTCCTGCTCAGGTTCCTGAGCTTTTCTTTTTTGTAATGTCTCTTAGCCATCTTTCTTTCTACAGTCTTTCTTCAAATCTCCCTCTCCTCCCCCATTATGAATGGACACACCCCCTAATGCTGATTGGCTACAAGTGTGTCGGTCGAATCCACTTTCAACAGTGCTTCTCAGACATCACTTGCTGCACCTTTAATAAACACATTCATGTTGCATTATTTTTTTACTTCATGTATTATCATCATGAAAACACAATTGGTGAATTATAAGGGTTTTGGGTGCTACAATTGAAGAACTGAGAATATTGTGGAGCGATATTATCCATGATTGTTAATTGTAATATTATTTTCATGATAACTTGAACATGATAACATATTTCTCACCCAATTCTCATTGACCTAATGCATGAACAACATTATGGGAAGCACGAAAGCAAAATGCATAAACATCTCGTTCTCATTGTTATAATGGGGGGGAAAGCTGATTTTAATAGGAAAAACACAGCATTACAAATTATAATAAATCAGTTTACATTGAAGGCAGTATAAAAAATACTACCATGATGTATAAACACATTGTAGATAAATATATAATTATAATAATTATTAAATTATAAATTATTTAATTATTTAATTATATATTTAATTAACAGAGATTAAGTAATGAGATTTCTTTTTGGGGAATTTTGTGGAAAACGTGCTTAAAGGAGTCGTTCACTAAAAAAAAACAACTTTTGCTGATAGTTTACTCACCCCCATGTCATCCAAGATGTCCATGACTTTCTTTCTTCAGTTGAAAAGAAATGAAGGTTTTTGATGAAAACAATCCAGGATTTTTCTCCATATAATGGACTTCAATGGGAACCAAACGGTTCAAGGTCCAAAAGTCACTTTCTGTACAAACTGCAAACTGTTCAAAGGGCTTTAAACGATTTCAGACAATGAATAAGTGTCTTATCAAGCGAAACGATTGCTCATTTAAAATTAAATAACAAAGTTTAAGTTTTAATAAGCACAAATGCTCGCCTTGCTCTGTTCTGTGATGATTCATCAAACTGAACAAATCTTTTTTCGAGTCATGACTCGAAGGGTCCTTGATAAGACCCTTATTCATCGTCTGGTGTCGTTTAAAGCCCTTTGAAGCTGCACTGAAACTCTCATTTGGACCTTGAACCGTTTGGTTCCCATTGAAGTCCATTATATGGAGAAAATCCTGGAATGTTTTAATCAAAAACCTTAATTTCTTTTCGACTGAAGAAAGAAAGACATGAGTAAATTATCAGCAAAAGTTTTTTAAAAGTGAACTACTCCTTTAACTGTCACAAAAATATC